CGTAGCCCGTCCAATTTAGAGCTAAATCATGGCTACATACAGACCATGTCATGAAATAACACATATATTTGTAGATATTATTGACACTGCGAACATGATGGGATATCAACCATCTCATGAGCTGTCTGGCCAAAAACTACAGTGAATCAGGTTTGACTATAAGTGGGCTACAGATAGCCGCTCGGACTACGAGCTAAATCTGGCTACGCTCAGGCTACGTATTGAACATGTCAAAGAAATGAAACCAAACACCCTGTAAATGCTGTTGACTTTGCTTACATGATGGAATATCATACATCTCACAAGTTATTTTGCCAAAAAACGACATGAAACCAAATTCAAGGTTATTTGGGCTAGAAGTGGGTTACACATAGCCGGACTATATCGGGTCTACACTTAACCGAGACGTTGAAATGACGGCTATTGCTTGTTGGGTTATGTCTCAGATCCTTGTGCAAGCTGCTACTGGAAATATTTTGATAATATGAGCATTCCCAAGCATTATTTTATTATGAAATGCTTGAAAACTTAAAGGGATATTTCACACAAAAGTGAAAATGTTGTATTTTTCTATTTGCAATTTTTTTTTACTTCACATATTGGGCTACCATCCACTCCCATTACAAAGCATGGATTAGCCTGGACATTATTTAATACAACTCAGATTGTATTCGTCTGAAAGAAGAATGTCATATACACCTAGGATGGCTTGAGGGTGAGTAAATCATGGGGTAATTTTCATTTTTGGGTGAACTATCCCTTTAAATCTTAACGTTTTTTATATAACCTTTTTTTCCGTAAGCACATTTATTAAGTTATGTTAATATTTTTTTAATTTTTAGGTTACCTTACAAAACAGTGTATTTTGTGTAGCCTATTTATAAGCAATAATTATACAGTGAGCTTATGTACCTCCATATGCACAAATGCAAGTAACATTAAAGTAGATCTTATGAACAGACAATGATTGTCTTGTTATTACCGCATGAATGCTCTTTGTAACAATAGTGAAGTTCATTCCTGTCACCAACACTGGTCGTCCTTTACATTACAGTGCGCTGAATAGCACAGGAATGAAATATCAGTCACATGATGAAGGGGGCGGGGCTCTCGTAGCTATGAGCCAATAACAGCGCACGTAAACCCGAGCTCAGTAGATCAGGGAATAGAGCATGAATAACGGTACTCTACAATATGCACTGATGTGTTTCATTATTGCCACACCAACGTCGGAAATCCATGGCGCATATAAATAAATCATTAAACAGCCAATACTGGTCTTTTCGTCTATAGATTGAGACGAGCGCTTCAGCACTGCGAGCTATTTATTCAGTCTTAAGATGGCCTGGATCTGGAAGGTAAGTCGAGCAACTGAATGTTTGTCTCGCCTTATATCCAGTAATGTATGGATGCGCATTAATGCTCTGCTCAGATTACATTCACAATGTTTTTTTTTATTTTATTATTTTATTTTTTTTAAATCTGAAGTGTGCAGCGAGAAACAGCGCGGTTAATGCTAACAGCTGTGTGCTTTAGTAATAAATAAAACTGTGTGGTAGAAGCTCATGTCTTGTAACATTGTTCAAATGCGACACGTGTGATCACCCAGTTTGCTTACACTTTGCAACCAGATTTAATGGATGTATCCTGGTTTATGCAATAAGACTTGGTGTATCCAAACATGTCGACGATGTCTGATTCTGCAAAGACCATTCGTTGGAAGAGACATAAAATGTAACAGAGTTATTAGTTTTCCTGTAATATGCACTTTATTACAACCAGTGATGTATATTTATGGTTTTTATGTCCTCCTTGAGGTTTTACAACCTACTATTCAGAAACAAATGAAGACCTTCATGCATCATATGAGACCACTACTCATAATATATTTGGCTGGAGGGTTTGTTTTGTTTGGATGAGTCATTTTGTCCATTGTGATGTGAAAAAAAGGATAGTAGAAATGCATCGGCACAGATTGCATGTTCAAACATGCTTGAATATCTGACCTTGTGTCAATTGAAAAAAAAAAAAACTCTAAAAACCTTTGTGAAGTGTTGATTTTTTTTTCTTCCAAACTTTCAGACATGGACAGTAAGCAGGGACGTCATGCACTCATGATTTTTGAGGGGGCACGGGTGTGTGGGTTGGGTGGGGGGTTTGTCATGTGACACAGCAGCCACAATAGCACTGAATAACTGATATAGTCTTATGTTTTATTTCATTATTTTCCTTTTTATTCGAAATATTTCCAAAAGTGTTAACTATATCAGGAAATATCTCGATTCTCAAACATGTGTAAGTAATGCACCAGGTATTATTTAATCTATAATGGGTGATGGGCAAAGTCGAGTAAAAGTGTAATCTACTAACTACACATAAAAACCTGACTTTTTACTTAAGTACCAGATATGGGTGTCATGCCATAACATATTTTTAATACTTAATGCTATTTGTAAAATAGCAATATTGTAAGTTACTATATTATATAATTTTCATTTTACAGAGCGCAAAGAACATTTACATTATCAAAGAACATTTTCACTTCAGTCTAGCTAGCCAGAGTTCACTCTCACTATTTCCAAACGTGTAAACTATATCAGGAAATATCTCGATTATCAAATATGTGTAAGTAACCTTTATAGATTAAACCGTTTTGCACCTTTATAGATTATGTTATTTGATCAATAAATGGTGATGGGCAAAGTAGACTAATAGTGTAATCTATTAACTACACATAAAAACCCGACTTTTTACTTAAGTACCAGATATGGGTGTCATGCCATAAAATAGTTTTAATACGACTGACTTTGTATTGTATGTGAATGTAATAACAATATTGTAAGTTACTAATTATAACACTTTCATTTTACAGAGAGCAAAGAACATTTACATTAACAAAGAACATTTTAATTCAGTCTAGCCAGAGTTCATGCACTCTCAAAAACTCCCATTAAAATCACTGAAGCTGTTTACACTGTGAAATGAATATCTTACTTAAATTCGTACGCACATCTGCACTTTGCTGTTTCTGATGAGAGAATTCGCCAGCTAATTCAGTCAGCGAGCAAGTGAACAAAACACCGCGTTTCAGCGATGACTCATCTGCACGTCTCTGATTGGCCATTGCATTCATAAGCTCAACAGAATCGTGTGTGATTGGTTATAATGCAGCGCTGTACAAACGCGTCTGGGCAGTCGGAGTTGACAGATTTAGCAGAAAATTGTGTAGTGTGTGATGGGCACAGACTCCAATTTTAGCTTCAGATTCTATGATTCCATCAGGTCTGAGAATATCAGACATGTTTGATATTTTGAACCGGTTTTAGAACACAATATTTTCATTTGTCATGTGTCGACTAGCAAGAAGGCGCATATTTGTTGTTCGTAGTGTGATCCTCAGTGTATGATGCCTGTAAAAGTTGTGTAATGTATTCCAGCCAACATTATCACACTTCTCATTTCCTTTTTTAAATATCTTAGTTCTTGTAGTATTTGAAAACATTCTCTAGTTTTGTTCAGCCAGTGGTGTTCACCATTGTGATCCAACCAGTATTAAAGTTGTAGTGTATAGTGTTTTCTAGTGCTGGGCAGTATGACCAAAAATTTATATCACGGTATTTTTCTTTCATGCATGACCGGGTGTTAACCATATTTTCTACTGATTGAGAGAGGAAATACTGTTCTAACCTTTGGTAGGTTGATTTGTGCAAAACATTCATTTTAAACCATTAATTTGTTTGCTTGTGCATCCCAACCAGCCTAACAACAGCATCTTTAGTTGCTTTTTCACAGTACTGCAAAACAATTAGCCTATTGTTTTCAGACAAGTTTCCTGAACACATCCTTCGTCTCCAATTGGTCAGACACACTGCTAGTTCCACCCCCCCAAACCATGCTATTAGTTGAGTCAATAGCCAAACGTTCGTTGAGCCCAATGATTCTAAGAATGGTAACAAACAATTTCCACTTGAGCTTAGTTCAGCATGCCACAATTACAAACCGTTATCAGCTCCACAGTAGAAATTCGTACCGGCTGGGCCGGATCAGCACAGATTGGAATGGCTAAGCAATGAGAACGGTCTCGTTGCTTAACCATTCCATTCCGTGCTGATCCATGATTTTGGATCTGTGTGTCTGACCAATTGCAGACAAAGGCTGTGTTCAGGAAACTTGTCTGAAGACAATAATTGTTTTGCAATTCTGCTTGTAACACTAGGGCGTGCAGAAATCACACTTCAGTTTTAGGAACCGGCTGTGTAAAACTGTGCAGACCATGCATAACATTCTATACTGTGTTTTTAAAATGTTTTGATTTTATAAATATTCACAGTGAAAACAAAACCGTGTTTAACAGTAATGTTTAAAAGAAACAGCACTTTAACAGCTGAACAAAAACAGCTGTATGGAAAGGATGCGATGTCCTACACACAAAGGGTTGTTTAGCCACTATGTTCAACAATTTTAATTTAAATGACAATGTTTGCATGCCATTCATTGAAACTGAATACATATAATCAGGAGATGCCTGTGTGGCTGTAAATAGCATCAGTTGGCTGTACTGTCTGATAAAGATGTGCCTTTGTCAGTGTTTTATCGTTACCCTTAATCTATATGTCTGCATCAGACAGCAATCAGCAAACAGAGAAGAGTAACAGGTTAACTATTTAAGGCTGCTCATATAAAATACATGTTCCTGCTTATGTGGACGTGAAGTGTTGGAGTTTAATTGGAATTCCTTGAATCCTCTTTAAGCACATTTATTTTCTTCTGGACAGTTTGGATGGTTTTGTGATGGTAATGTAACATTCAAGAGCTGGTCAGAGTGTGGTGTGCCACTGAGAGCCTCTTTGTAATCGCTGAGAATTAGTTCCAGTGTTGTTCACCTCACAGGGCCGCAGTGGTCAGTTCGGCCTGTGCTCAGCCTTCTGCATGCATACACTTCACTATAAAAAGACCTGCAGTTGTTACCTTACTTGATCTAACCATAGTTTTGATGGTGTAACTTATATTTAGGTTGATCTTTTTGATATTTAGATATTTAGACATATGTTAGAAAGCCAGTCTCTGAGATGCTGAAAACAATGCATCATGAGCTGCACACATGTAAATTAACACAGTGCTGTGCTTCACTCTGAAACTTGCAGCGCAGAGTATATTTATTAAATTGAGTCAAGTATAATAAATAATAATAAATCACAGTCTTTTGCGATTTAATAAGTGTACTAAGCCACATCACAATTTCGATTTTAGTTTTAGTTGAGAAATGTAAAAATATTTTCCATTCATTTATGAAACTGTTGTACAAATTATCTAGTGATTGATTGGAAACTCTGGTTCGTGTAATAAGAAAATTTATATTAGATTATCTACTGTCTATCCGAAAGTTTACTTTGTGTTTATTCCGATGAATATGCCTGTAATGACCTTGTGATCTTAATCAATAGATTATGTAGACAAAAAATTGTACTGTGTGTTTTAAATGTGAAGAATGTCTTATATGGACAGTTATGACTGAAATGAAGTCAAACTGGGCATTGCAAATATGTTTAACATTTCAGAAAATATTAAAGACCCAAATAATCTAAATCAAGAGATTATGAGTAAAATCATGAGAAACAGACAGTTTGGATGGGATTACACATAATTCTATTAGGCTAATTTTAAGAGGTTTAACTTTTGAGTGGTCCAAGAGTCAAAAATACGCATTTTGCATATTTCTATTGACATAAACATAATAGCAGAGAAATGCAAGTAGGAGTTATTCAGCATAGCAAACTTTAATGTATTCTTAAACATATGCTTGCATGGTATTAGCCCAATTAGCCAATTTAAATGAGCTTTCCCTGCACGCATTGCATTCTGACTAATCCAGCACCCGCTCACACACACATGATGACTTCACTTTTGGTGCATTATACATCTTAACTTCGCTGTATAGGGGTTAGTAAGATTTTTTAAAAGTATTTTATGGTATATGGTATATATATTAATATATGTGACCCTGGACCACAAAACCAGTCATAAGGGTCAATTTTTTGAAATTGAGATTTGTACATCATCTGAAAGCAATAAGCTTTCCATTGATGTATGGTTTGTTATGATAGGACAATATTTGGCCGAGATACAACTATTTGAAAATCTGGAATCTGAGGGTGCAAAAAAATCAAAATATTGAGAAAATCGCCTTTAAAGTTGTCCAAATTAAGTTCTTAACAATGCATATTACTAATCAAAAATTAAGTTTTGATATATTTACGGTAGGAAATTTACAAAATATCTTCATGGAACATGATCTTTACTTGATATCCTAATGATTTTTGGCATAAAAGAAAAATCGATCATTTTGACCCATACAATGTTTTTTTGGCTTTTGCTACAAATATACCCAAGCGACTTAAGACTGGTTTTGTGGTCCAGAGTCACATATAAGTGTAATTTTTTCCTTTTATGGCAAAGCTGAATTTTCAGCATCATTACCCCAGTCTTCAGTGTCACATGAACCTTGAGAACTCCAGAAACATTTCTTCTTATTATCAATGTTAAAAATAGTTGTGTTGCTTAATATTTTTATTGAAAGCATGATATTTTTTTTGTATTCTTTGAAACATTTTTTGGTAAAATTATAACATTATGTCTTTACTGTCAATTTTGATTATTTGAATGTATGACTGCCAGGGTCAGAAATGAACTTTTACTTTAAGGGGCAATATTTGCTCCCTTGTATTGATATCCAGGAGCATTTTTTACATTCGTCATGCAAGGCAATTTTTATAATTACCTTATTAATTGTATCTGTTTTGTCTTTAATGTCAGATACTTAAATTTAACCAATCACTTGCAGTCAAAATATTTTAAACAGTTACCAATAACAACAAACTGTTTAAAATGGCATAAATATAAATATAAATATATAAAACAGAGACTCGTTGACTAATCTAAACACCTCTCATTGGCCATTGCATTCATAAGCTCAACAGAAACGTGTGTGATTGGTTATAATGCTCTACGCTGCAAAAAACAACATGTAAAAGGCAATCTGATGGAATGTGTACAGATCTGTAACTTTTCATTTATTTACCCAATTCCTTTTAATCACGGCAGCCATAATAGATTTAGTTTAATTGTACAGGGGTGATTTCCGCCCCTTTGTCATGAATGTGGTTTTTGACACAATTTTTGCTACAAGCGCCCATTCATTTTCGACCCTGGTCCCTGCTAAATAAAAGTATTTCTTAAATAAATCTCACTCACTGACCCCCAAAATATAGGCTAAGATATAAAAATGTATAAATATGCTATCTCTAAATAATTATACTGCTTATAAAAATATATACTACTGATAAAAAGTAAAGTTAATTTTAGGTAGTAGCATGAGTCTGTTTGTGTTAAAGTGATAGTTCACCTAGAATTTTTTTTTTATTTTTTTAACCCATATGGTAACATCAAACGTCTCAATACAACAATACAAGGGATGAGTAAATAGAGGCCCAATTTTAATTTTTGGCTGAACTATTTCCTTTAATAGCCCTGGTTCAGAGGTGTGGCACATGCAACACTTCAAAGCATGTTTTGCTGTTTAACAAAGCCAAGCTTAAAAGGTTGCAGGTATAATGGATTAGCAAGCACTTTACACATTAACCTACCAACAAGACGATTTCCCCTTTATTAAATCCAATTTGGTCCTTGTTTCATTAGGATGTCCAACAAGGACTATCTGTTGCCTGGATGTGTTATTGTGCAATGTTTAGTTTTGTTATGGTAGCTCAGCCTTTTTTGGGAGGCGGAGAAAGACTGCTAGGCCAGGAAGTGAATGACATCTCATTTGACTAGTAATCTGGCTTGGAATGGTAACAGTGTTGATGTGGGTAAGTAGCTTAGCAGGAATGTGAGGAGGTCAGGGAGAGATAATGCAGGCATCTGCTTGTGTGGCTGTTTGAGGATTTACACTTCTGATCCATTTGCACACAACAGATGTGAATCCAAACTTCAGTTGCCTTACTTTAATGAAGTAGAATTTCGAATGGATGATTTTGTAGTGTGCAAATCTGGTGTTATAGGCCTAATTTACTATTTTGCACTAGGGCTGCTCGATTATGGCAAAAATCATAATCATTATTATTTTGGTCAACATTGTAATCATGATTATGAGTGGGCCACATGACCAAAACTTTATATGAGTGATTTATTTAAAGATAGCAATATATATCAATATTTTCATATTTTCTGTAAATAAGGTTGCTATGACATCTACATTCTAGAGACCAGCGAAACTTCACAAGTCTCAATACCACAGCAGAATACTAGGGTAACTAATATGAGTAAAAAAACAAAAAAAAAGTCCTCAAAAATAATTTAACAGTCAGTAATAAAAAAAGGAAAGGACAAATACAATAGAAAAAAGATTTAATGAAACTAACAGTGCAAGTCTAAAGTTGTCAGCTAACAGTCTACTACAGAAATTGCATAATTGATTGTAAAATAAAATAGCATAGTCTTCACTGTAAGAATTAAACTTTCTTTGTTTCTTATTAAAGCTACAAAAGTCCTTCATTGTAGAGCAGTGAGTGATTTTCTCTCTGTCCTTTGTTGTTTGATTAATATGAAGCCCACAGTCAGCAGCAGGAATA